GAACAGAGACAAGCCATAGCCGCCACCTGATTGAAATCCGCTGTGTGTGTCGGTGTGCGGCAGAGCCGCTGGAGATGAACATTCTTGTATATTGATAATGATATTGGAGACGACATCCCAGTGTTGATTGTATCTCGATTTGGCTTCTCACATGTGAATGTTCATTGATGTATGTGAGGTTGAACTTGAAGAGTACTTGGCTCATTTCAACTAGGCCTCTTTCTTTTGAATCTGCCCACAAAGGGGTTCCGTTACATCCCAAGATAGTCCTCTGGCTGCAAACCACCGTTGGTGCAGACCACTGTTTACACTTTTACGCTGTGGAAACAACGCTAGCTACCCCCAGTTTGACTTTGCCCTGATATCCTTTGCTTGCCCCTCAGGATGAATAACTTTGAGAAAAGGAAAAAAAGGAGAACGACTCCCCCCATGGCCCACCCCCCTTCCATGAATAAAATGATTGAATGTGGTACCTGTGACCCCTTTTCCATGTGAATGCCTTGCAGCCCCCCGCCTGGTGGGGAGGGCCCTTCGATTCTTCGTGTGGATCTGGGAGTCGAGACTATTCGGGCCAGCAGTGCTGAACATAATGTTGCGCAAAAACGGTATTGTCGAGGTGAGCATGCCGCAACTTTCCCTTTGATTTTCTTCTGACATGGCTGCATGCATGCCGCAACTTTCGGGGCTCGGCTGCCTGAGCAAAATGGCTGGCGGCACCAGCCAATTCATTTTTTTCTGGCGCGCAGGGCCTCTCAAGCCTTGGGAAAAAGGGGATCAGAAGTACTGGTGGTTTAATGTTCAAGTTCGTCATTTTTTTCTTTTTTCTTTTTTTCTGCTTTTTTTAATTTTCAAGTTCCTCATTCAACTTTCAGGGAACGATATTTCCTATGCCCCCTTCGCACTGATTCAGCTCCAGTGCCTAGCCCCTACCTCAAGTATGACTAGACCGGTGCATCCCTTGCCCTGGCTAATTTTCTTTGCCTGCGTTTGTGGGTCTGTTTGGCAGATGCTGAGGAGAAGAAATATCCCCGAGGAGCCGACATTTGTGCCATGCCTTCCTGATGGTAAGCGTTGCTAACTTTCTACCCATCTACATAACTACTGAAAGGTAGTTATACAAGAAGAATAGGGTCCCCCATAACGGAAGACCCTGTTACCCAAAGGAAAAAAGATGGGCCCAGTCCTTGGCCCAGGCGTGGTGCACCACTCGGTCTCCTGAAAATTCCAGTCAGGGTGAGACCAGGCCGTGTGTGGAACTTCTTTTTGCAGCGTGTGTGAAAACTTCTGGCACCTGAGGAGGAAGTGCCGCCAATGTTTGAAAGTGCGCACGAAGCAAGAAGTTCCTTCTGCCGCGGAATATCAAGGGAACCGAGGGGTGGGGCTTTCTTGCTGAAGAATTTCACCAGATAAAGAGTTGTGTCACCATGCTGGTCAAGTACTGCCTCCATCCCATAGCATGGGGCATTCGTGGTAACACAGGTGGGAAGGGTGGGGTCAAAGATGCTAAAGACAGGTGCTTCCAACAACGCTGCTTTGAGAGCCTGAAAAGCTGCATGTGCAGGCGCACACCCCGACTCCCCATTTGCTTGCCTTGTGTTTCCACGCAGCTCGCCTATTTGCCTTGTGTTGCCTCACTGCTCTGCTGCTTTCCCTACTGCGGCCTGCTTTGCCTTCCTCACTCACTTCTGTCACCTGCCTTGTTGCCTCGCTGCCTGCCCTGCTGCTTTGTATACCCGCTTGCACACCCTGTCATGGCTTGCTGCTGCCCCACTGCCCGGCGGCCTACCGCTTTGCATTGTGTTGCCTTGCTGCTCACCTGCTCACCTTCTTGCTTCCGTTTTCCTACGTGACTTTGGTGCTTGCCTGCCTGCTTGCCTGCCTGCTCGCCTGCTTGCTCGCCTGCCTGCTCGCTGGCCTGCTCGCCTGCCTGCTTGCCTGCCTACCCGCCCTTCCTGTGCTTCACTGCAGCCTGCTTTGGCTGGCTGGCCATCCACTCGCAACAAGGGTCGAAGTAGATCGTAACCCAAAGCATCAATATGGGCATCCTGCAGACTGGCAAGGGATTCAGCCTCCAGATGAGCAAGTGAGAGTCTTATGAAAGAGTCCATCGTTAACCCCTTGTGTCCCTGCTTGTTCTTCTGGTACCGCATGTCATGCGTACGGCATGTAGAAGTTTTTTCAAGTACCCATGTCCGCGACACCCAGGCTTCTGCTCAATAGGGCACTGGGCTCGGAGGTTTTGGAAACATTTTCAAAGTTTGTGTCGAGTCTCTGTCATGCAGGAAACCATGCCCTGGAGTGAAGCTTGACCGCCGAGGATTGTACACTTCGCCACACGCAAGACACATACACAGAGTGTGCTTCACATATGTTGTGCGGCACTGTGCGGCCGTGGGACAGCAGTAAAGATCTGGAGCGATGCAACAAAGATTACTATTGTAGGATGTCGCCCCTGGAACCCTCAAAGTCCCGTTGTGTCTTTTCATGGGCTCAAAATGGGAACACCTCCCTTCTGATTCAGGGGCAGCAGTTCAATTCATACATGCAAGCACACGTCGTGCGGGCGGTTCCCTACGTGCGGCGCACGCGCCCAACCGATCCCGTGCGGCGCACGACGTGTGCAGAGAACGACCCGTCACCCCCCTCAGGAAAAAAAAAGGCCGGGGTCGAAACGGTGCGTTTGAGGGCCCCCGCCAAAATTATAAGCGAGATGAAAAACAAAATTTACAGGATTACTGCCTCTCCTTGCTCCTCCTCCCCTTCCTCATCCTCCATGTCTCCTCCTCCCTTCTCCTTTTCGTCTCCTCCTCCTCCTCGTCCTCCTCCTCCTGCCCTTCCTCATCCTCCTTGTCTCCTCCTCCTCCTCCTCATACTTCCTCATCTTCCATGCCTCCTCGTCTCCTTCCCTTCCTCGTGTCCTCCCCTTCCTCGCCGTCCATGTCTCCTCCTCCTCCCACTCGTCCTCCTCCTCCTGCCCTTCCTCATCCTCCTTGTCTCCTCCTCCTCCTCCTCATACTTCCTCATCTTCCATGCCTCCTCGTCTCCTTCCCTTCCTCGTGTCCTCCCCTTCCTCGCCGTCCATGTCTCCTCCTCCTCCCACTCGTCCTCCTCCTCCTGCCCTTCCTCTTTTCCCTCCGTCCATCTCTTCTCCTGCCCCATCTCGACTCCTCCTCCTCGTCGTCCTCCTTGTCCATATCCTCCTCCTCCTCTCCATATCCCCCTCTCCTCGCCATATCCCCATTTTCCTGTCATACGCCCTCCCGTTCCCCCTCCCAAAAAAAGATGAAATAATTATAATAATAAATAAAAAACCTGCACGATTCCGCACAGGCACCCCCCGCACGGAACTCCGCACGAATGTGCGGCTCGTGCGGTTCCAAGTATGGTTCAATTCCTTTTTTTCTGAGGCAGGATTAAAAATAGGAATATAATTTATAACTATTAAATGATAATTTTAGTGTAGCGTTAAAAAAAAATGCACCTTGACTAAAGGCTGGTACTTGCCATCATCATTACCAGGGGCCCGATTCGACTTACCTGGATTCACCATTTTCCAACTGGCGACCAAGAGGATTGACGCCCAGGGATGGTGGAGAATCTGAGTAAGTGGCACCTTGCCCCCCCTCCTGCAGAAGTAGAAAATTGTCTTTGCCCGTCTTTCTTTCTTTCTCTTCCGGATTTTCCCTTGTCCTTGTCGAGTTGAAAAATTAAGTACTTACAGTTTGGTAGCGATCATGGCTGGAAACTTGACATCTCCTTCATACAGATCTGGCTACAGAGAATGGGATTATGTTCGTTCCGCCTGGCACTTCACCAAGCGACCAAGTGAGCAGTGCTTTGGATGGCCTCTCTGAGAGGAAGTTTGAGAACAGGGAGTCATTACTAGGAGGGCAAGCGTGGAGGCGATGGACGATCAGGGATTACCACAACGCATATATGAAGGGCAAAATCACTCCAACAGAGGTCTGTGTGTGGACTATCCCTTCTTGTCCCCTTGGTCCCTGCGGTATCGTAACCATGTTGCTGAAACCATGACTGTGCTTGTGCTTCGTTTTCTATTCCCTGGGGGGCAAGGCGGTTTTTTTTTTTTTGGGGGGGGGGGGGGGGGGGGGGGGGGGAGGGCGCAGAATGATGCAGATGAACCCAGGACCTGTTGGGGGGGTGGTTATTTTGGTTCGTCTTTGGCCGGTACTTGTGGGCTAGTCGCTACTTCAACCAGCTTATTCAGGGTCAGGCTGCACTGGTGGTGTGGTTATTTTGGGGTTTTGGTCGCCTGTACTTGTGGGCTAGTGGCTAATAAGGCGACCAGCTTATTCAGAGTCAGGGCCCATTGGGGCCCTTGTTGTTTTGGGGTCTTTCTGGCCTGTACTTGTGGGCTAGAGACTAATGCAATCAGCTTGTTCCGGGCCAGGCCCCATTGGTGCAATTGCCATGCTATGTTCATAGCACGACTATAGCACCAGTGGGGCCCTGACCCTCAGTCTTTCTGCACGGTTTGGAGAACATTATGCACCGCTTCCAGGTCCGGCTCAATTCAGGGATGGACACACCCTGGACTCTTAGGATGTATGAGAGTTGAGGTCAGTTCGTTTTCAATTTCATTGGGGCATGAATGCCATTCTTCTGCGCTGTCTTGGCTTGGCATGGGTTTGCTGTTCGTACTATCCTTGCTTATCATTCCTCCGCGTCCCGTTCCTGTTATCTCTTTTTCAATCTAACATTGCGGCTCTTCTCCCTCTCGTCTCCATTTCTCCCCTCTCCTCTCTCACAAATCTCTGTAACAGTCGTCAGCCCTGGATTCTTCCAAGGTAAGTACTGCCTAAATTCATAAGGACCGGATCGTCTCACACATGGTGCTCTCTTATAGACCAGCGCAGGCTATTCATTCCATAGTACACATGCCAGATCTTTGCATTGACAGGGCCCTTGCTGGTGCAGGTTGCGGAGCGGCTGCTGCGCTTTTGCGAGCAGTCAAGGAAAGAGGCGATTCCTATGAACTTCTTTACTCAGATCAATCCAGATGATGTGAGGAGACAAGCAGAGCAGTCCACTCAAAGGTACAAGTCAGGTGAGAATGAGCAAACAAGCTAACTGTTGCCAAACCTTTACAGGGCTTTATGGGTCCTTACTGGTCTTTGTGGGTCTTGTAGCGGCCATGAATCACATGAGAAGAACAGAAAAATGAGGTCCTTATGGGTCCTTATGGGTTCTTATGGGTCTATGTGGGTCTTTATCGGTCTTTGGGGGTCTTTATGACTCTCTGTGTGTCTTTACGGGTCTTCGGGGGTCCTTATGGGTCGGTAATACTCGGTATGTTTCTGACAGCAACAATTAAACGGGCCACAAGAATGGACAATTCCTGTCTATTAAACTCTCAACTGAACTAATTCTCTATTTTTAGGAATTTTTTCCTCGTAAATTCAGCCACGAGGAGTCCAGTCAAGATGAGCCTTGACAATGGAGAAGATGCCAGTGAACACGGACCTGCTTTTTCTAAGTTTTTCACTTTTTTTTTTTTTTTTTTTTTCGGTTCGTGCATGCATGGAGTAAGAGTTTTAAGTCACCCGTGGGGCTTCGAGATGAGCATATGAACTTGTGCCCTTGGTCACTGGCCTTGTCACAATTCCTTTTCTTTTTTTTTGTAATAATCAGGGTTGTTTTGGCGCCTACCGCCTACGCCTACCGTAGGCGGTAGGCGGACCTGTCGGCGGTCGGCAGACTGCCTAATTTTTTTTATTTTTTTTTTCTGATGACATGGGTCGTGTGCAGCTTGAGGAGAGCAGCCCAAATCCGCAATAAAATTTTGTGGTGGGGTTGGA